CTTAGCACCGGTTACAGAAATAGAAGACATCACAATTCTATGGAATTGCGCCGTCTTTAGACCTATAGCTTTGAGGCAAACAGGCCGGACATAATTTTCAAAAACCGAAAGCTTGCCTACTGTATGTGTGTGTATGTGTGTGTTGATGAGCAGCACGTTTTGTGATATTCTAACTCACAAAATTATTACTAATAATTGTGATAAATATCAGGAAACCACAGACCATCTAATCTCAGGATGTTTCTGTACTTGTGCCAAATGAATATAAAAATCGGAGTTGGATAATACTTAAACTGGACAATGTGCAAATACTTTGGAAAAAAGATATTAATAAACACTTGTTTGAATATCACCCAGAACCGGTTACAGAAATAGAAGACATCACAATTCTATAGAATTCTATGGAATTACACCGTCTTTAGAGCCAGGAAGATTGAAGCAAATAGGCCAGACATAACTGTCAAAAACCGAAAAGAAAAAAACAAAAAAACAAACAAAACAAACTTGCCTACTAATTGATATGGCTTGCCTAGAGGACTCTAACATAGTAACCAAGAGATTTGAAAATCTATCGAAGTAAAAAGACCTGGAAATCGAAATCGAAAAATGTTGAAATTGAAAAGAAGATTAGTACAAATCATAGCAGATGCGCTTGGAATTATAAAAAAAGGAACACAACGGAACATTGAAAAAAAAAAAAAAATCACTGGAAATCCCAGCTTCAGAGAAAGACAAAAAATATCTTGATAAGCACAACCCACACACGAAGAAGAACTTTACCCTTATAATGACAGTGAGGTTATGGAAGTTGTAAAAACAAATCATGAAATGTATCCATAACAACACAAGACTACCTTCCTTCGGTCTTCCCGAAGATTTGGTAGGTATTGTGACCATAGCAGTAATTGAAATATAATATTAGGTTGGTGCAAAATAATGACGTAATAATGTCGTTTTTTGACGTTAAAAAATACGTTAAAAACGACATTATTACGTCATTATTTTTGCACCAACCTAATAATAATAATAATAATAATAATAATAATAATATTTCTTATTCACATGGCAATCCCTCAAGATATCCAGAAACAATTGCCCTTCTTGTATTAGGTTGCACAGTGGTAGCACCCAGGTTCGTCTTAACAGCATTGTGGGCCCCTGGGCAAACCAGTGTGCTTAGGCCCCTACGACAACCACTCACAGGAATAAAAAGTAAATGGTCGATAATATTAAACGTATATTTATTTTATTGGCACTTCAACAAAATTAGTGTTAAAAAAATTAAAAAAATATGTTGTGCAGCAGTAACTAATCAACGTTATAAACATTTGAATAATAGACAAAGCTTGAAAAACAAAATAATACTCAGTAAACCACACAGATGTCAGAGTATGAAATTGCTACGCACATATGACAAGCATTTGCAGCATTTCTTTTCAGAGAATTGCTTTATTATTGGCTTGAAGTCAATCGGCTTCAGAAATAGGATGACATTTCCCATGAACATGAGTGAAAGCTTGTTCAAAAGATGCTGACCCACTGTGCTACGAAGCTGATTGTTTTTCGTTTTTATAAATTTAAGTCTTGAAAAGCAGCGTTTTCTTGTACAGTTGATCACCATCAGGCACATGAACACTCTGAGTGCAATTTGTAATCCTCTTCTACAATTTTATCATTCGGGAATACAGATTTCAAATCTTCCGAAATTATTTTTCTGTACATCTCAGGCAGAGCGTCACAAATTTCATCAAGAGCCATGTAGTGCTCGAGATGCTTAAATTCATTTAAAAGGTCATCATAATTCAGGTCTTTGTCATAAATATTAGACGCTTTATCTTTATTGCATCAGAAGCAATGGTTTTCAATTCACTGAAGAAATAAATCAGACTTCCAATCTGAATAATCCTCTGCACGTTTTGTCAGTTCAAGGACTGGAGTGTTCAGAAGTAGGAAGAAATTTTCCATCTTGAACTTTTCGGTTTTACTGAGAAGTACCCGTTCTGCTGATCCATCATCATACTTATTATAAAACCCAGGTTGTGTGTGTCTGTTCATTTATATATTGGATCGGATTTCCTACATTTTTCAACCGATTTCAACAAAACTTCACAGGACTAGGTAAAATTACGTTGCAGTGGTTCTGACAGCTCATATCGAGTTATACTTACTATAAAACCCAGGTTGTTTGTGTGTGTGTGTGTTCGTTTATATATGGGATCGGATTTCCTACATTTTTCAACCGATTTCAACAAAACTTCACTTTTTGTTTGGCAGGTAGTGTTTCTTATTGTCTTGCACACTTTTTCTTTATTTTTACATTCAGAATGCTTTAAAAATTTCATTTTCAAGACAATTGTTTATAATAAAATTCTATTCAATCGGTAGACTCATAACGATTGAAAACAATGCTTTTGTTTGAGTTTGGCTTTGACCAATTCGTAAAAAAAAAAAAAAAAAAAAACTAATTAAGACATGCGTGTCCGTCAACCTTAAACAATAATCTTTGTCAATTTTATTTTTCAGTCTTTATGATGGTCGATACTTGATCTATCTCTTACTGTTACATCCCCGGGCAACGCCGGGCTCTACTGCTAGTATCTATTAAGACGCACATTTCGTTTTTGTTCACGTTTTTTTCCATCACTGTAATCTGTATCCTGTCTTTGAATTTATATTCACTAAATTTGTCTCTAGTTTCCTGAAGATAGTTTTTCAAAGACTCAAGAAGATTCGCAGCAAGAAGGATGTTCACATCCATTGATTGCAGGACCTTGCTTGTTTTGTTCATTCTTTCTAGCGTGTCATTCCAAAGAATAGTGAGAAAGATTTTTTCCACGTTTTCCATTTTTTTTTTTGGCTCAATTCTTCCTCTCCCGTCTTGTATTAAACTTGCTGTACATTGTCAGCTGATAGAGAATCCAGTACATGATTTATTTTCTCGAAACCCCCATATAGAGCAGGAACAACATCAAAATGTGCTGGCCATTACGTGCCAGACAGACGCTTGACCACAAAATCTTTTCCTACAAATGATATCAATACGGTCCAGTGATGAGTAGAATCAGAAAATAATGAATACAGATGCTGAACCATGTCACACAAGCAGGAGAACTCAATCACAGCTGTCAGATAATTTCTACGAACACATCACCCCTTACATCTGACCACCTAACTCTCCAGACTTGACCCCCTTTACTATGTGTGGGGCACAGATGAGTGAGGGACCAACAAAACCTTGTAGCACCAAAGATGAACTGAAGGCAAGGATTATGGAAGCATTCACCAACTTAAACAAGAAGGCGGCCCAAAAGAGTTACAGGAGATTCCGAAGTCGTCTGGAGGCCGTGGTTGAAGCCAATAGCGATTTTATTGAATAAATTTACTTTTTAACATTTGAAGATATTTTTGTGTAATTTAAAATGAGATGTTAGTGTTATGTTGATTTTTGGGATAATTTAGAAGACAGTGTTTTTAACAATCATCAAAATTATTTATCGAAAAAATTTTGAACAAAGTAACTATAAACCATTTTTTTTTAGCTATCCTCTGCCAGCCACATTGACGGAGAAAGCATTATCTCAAACCATCGCCAGTGAGACACGCTACAAGAGCCACTCCGTTTCGCGAGGCTCATCCCTTAATCGAGACGCATATCTATCAGCAAGAGAAGAATATTTAACTATATTTTTTTTTATCTTTGCGTCCCAGGCGACGGACCCCTGCTAAACCGCGGACCTGGCAGTGTTTTTTCATAGTAGCTTTATATATATATATATATATATATATATATATATATATATATATATATATATATATATAATTATTTATTTAAAAAATATGATTCCATCGCTACATAATAGTTCTCATGTTTCAAAACAAGAGCCGAAATCTTCAATATAATTATTTGAATTAAATTGAATTAAAGTACCAAGCTCTGTTTCAATTTCAAACGAAATTTTTTGGTAATAACTAATTCTTGAAATTTACGCGTTTTTATAAGCATATTCATTATTAAAATTAAAATTACTATGGTAACGGCTAGAGCAATTATTTACAAAAAGGGGCTTAAGGGTTAATAAGAGGTCAAGTCAGGGTAAGGTTGGGGTGTCTAAATTTAAAACGGAAGATGACATATATATATATATATATATATATGTGTGTGTGTGCAAGACTTGAGATTTTTAAAATTTAAGGCGTTATATTAAGCTGGACTATCTTAAACTTCAACACGACTTACAAACTCTATAAACTGTTCGCAGAATTGGTCGAATGAAAATAATTGCACAATATCTGCTCCCACTGGAAAAAGAATGCCTAAATGTTATAGGGATGGTAATTCACCATTGAAATATTGAAATACTTTTGACGATCTTCAGTCTTTGAATGCGCTGCTTAAAATTACACGTCAAAGGATATTCCGACCATAAGTTATTGAACACCTGAAGATTTAGGAAAATCGAAATACACTTTATACAAATCTTCATATAGAGTTAACAAATAAGTCATTAGATATTAAATTTATTTTTTTAAAGAGTCCATTATAAATTGAGAAAATGTTTAATTTATTTTTCTATAGCTTCTATTTAGGCTCGTATATTTTATTTTCTCATGGAGACTCTCCATTTTCAAAAGATAAATTTGGTTCTTGGATATTAATCGGGGGCGAAAGGATGGAAAGTAATTTTAGTCATCATTGTATCAAATACCATAAAGGAAGGTTCCTGATGCGGTTCGACGTGAAAAGTGCAGTGTTCGAATTCAACATGAAAATAAAGCACTTTTTTAATTAATTTTTTTTTATTAAGAACCGAAACAGGTCAGACACGAAACAAGAGGCGTTACTCAAAAATAATTACGGAATTATCAGTAGAAACAAAAGGGACTAATGAACCAATTACACGAGAAATAATGAAATGTAGATATACTAAATATAAAACAAACATGGCGCTATTACAACGATGAAGACGACGATGGCAAGAAGAAAGCTTTATAGTCATCAATCAAGAAATAAGAAAATAGAACGCGAGAATAAAACATTTGCGAACACAAAAGAAAGAAAAAAAAATGGAGTGCATATATTTGAAAAGAAAAAAAACAAATTCAATAGAATTATTCGAAAATTGAAAACAAAAGAATGGAAAAAAAAAAATCAAAACCTCAGAACGTGAATATTTGTTTGAGCGGATGTCAGTGTGTGAACGACTCCCGGTGCGCATGACAGAAAAGAAGAGAGATGGTGAGAGGACAAAGGGAGATATAGTGAGAATGTCGATCTTGTTATAGGCTGATGAGAGAGGGAGATAACAAAACAAAGCGAGCGAATAAAATGGAACAAGCAAAAGGAAAAGAGATGGATTGTGGAGAAGGGCGGGTTTATTATGTCGGTAGTCATATATGAACAGGAAACAAAAGAATTCATTTATTGCTTTTAGAAAGATAGGAACAGATAGATAGATACATATACACATATATATATATATATATATATACACATATATATATATATATATATATATATATATATATATATATATATATGTGTGTGTGTGTGTGTGTGTAAAATTCAAAATCTGATGGAAGAATATATAAATAAAAATAACAAATATTATAGAAAGTATAGATAGATAGATATGAACAGAATGTGAGAGATATGAACAGATAGATAGATAGATAGATAGATAGATAGATAGATATTAATAGAATGTGAGAGATGTGAACAGGGATAGATAGATAATTCAAAATCTGAAGGAAGAATATATAAATAAAAATAATAAATAAATAGAAAATATAGATAGATATTAACAGAATGTGAGAGATATGAACTGAGATAGATAGATAGATAGATAGATAGATAGATAGATAGATAGATAGATAGATATTAATAGAATGTGAGAGATATGAACAGGTGATAGATAAATAATTCAAAATCTGAAGGAAAAAATGAAATCTACGAGTAGATAAAAGCAGACTAAACTTGAATGACAAGCAGACAGATGCGCATGCGCAATCTGTGATATGTCAGCACAATCAGATATATAAGTATGTAATACGTATATGTGTGTGTGTGTGTGTGCGTGTGCGTGTGTGAATGGTAATTTCTCTATGTATGTCTGAATGAAGACGTCGCCTGAACCTGTGAACTAGTATTGATGAAATTTTGCATACATGTTAAACTAACATCCAGTTTGTTACAAGAGTAATTGTACATTTTTAATAAAATTTTATAACTGGACGGCTAGGGCCCCCAAGATGGCCGCTCACTTTCAGGTCTATACGAAACGCTGTTTACATGTGTTTAATTCGTTTCGCAAACTTAGAAATTAAGACACACGTCTTACGATATAATAACTCTTATAAGGCTTAAAATTTCCAAATAAATATGGATATTTCGATTTTAGAAATTTAGTGGACAACATCTGAATCAATCGGAGGTTATTTTCTAAATAAAATCTTTATTTAACTCATTAATTCAGCATAATCTTTTTAAAAAAATAATTCATTTCAAATTTCGCCGTGTGCATCATTAAATTGGCAGGTTCGAATTTATTAAATACAAACAAATTGATTCGGCCCATTCGGTCAATTAAACGTAAAATAACATTTAAATTGAGCTTGTTTGAGTGTACAACTTTATCTAAGCTCATATTCCAACGTACCCTTATCGTGGTTGTGGTTGTCGTTGTTGTCTGTGGAATACCAACATGTTTGGAAAACACTTTCTTGCTATATACGATCTGTTAAAAAAAGAAAAAAAAACTATGGAAATAGACATCCTTCTTAAAAATCGAAACGTCCTTAATCAACATGAGCCACGTTCCCTTCCCCGTTAAGTTTTATTTTTAATTACAGGGGTGTCATTAGACGACATCAATTCGAATCGCAACGAAATCGCGACGAAAAGCAAAAATGAAATCAAAAATTGTTTTTAAACTTTTCATTCTATACAGTATTGAAATATATATATATATATATATATATATATATATATATATATATATATATATATATATATATACGACTCTCCCGTCAAATTTGACATATGAGGGTCAAGCAGATCATTTCTTGGAAATCCGACAGTCCGACAACAGCACAAGAGATTTGATTATAGTGGTGAAGGTTTCGTGCAGGACCATCCACACTTTTTGAAGGGCCGAATACAGAGACCATGCACTACGTGCCACAGGGTCCCCAAACGACCCTCCGCAGGTTTTAAATTCATTGTACTTCTAGACCAGTTGCTATCCAAGGCTATAGAATCCAGTCTATCCTGCTATTTACCCATAGCTGGAGGAGAAGAAGAGGATTCACAACTTTCCCAAGGGTATTAACATGTAAATGAATGTAATAGATTCGACTGGAATTTGAACTCAGCTCTCCGATTCCTCAATCCGAGCTGATCTGTCCATTACCCCTCCATCGTGCCTTTTATATATATATATATATATATATATATATATATATATATATATATATATATATATATATATATATATATATATAATCTATCAGATATATTTCCTGTAACGAAGGCAATGTGACACATCCTGGGCTTTGAAATCCATCAGCAGCTTTCAACAGTGGTGAATCTAGCTGTTTATCTTGAAAATGGACAACGTGTATATTTCACAGAAGATACTGCTTGAAATGTAACTGAGAATACGCCATAAACCACTTTGACAGCTTTCTTCAAATTATGCCAAAGTGACCCGAACACTGCTGTATGTTGAGGACGCCGTCTATTGCACCTAGGAACACAATAGATGAAGCAGGCGTAAGGAAGGAGCAAACGTTGAGGGCAGGGAAGAAAATGCTGTCTTCAGAAGCGGGACCATCGGGTGAATGTACACTGTTCACCCTAATCAGCAGGGATACTTCTCTCTGTGTCTGCTACTGCACAATGTCAGACGTCTTACATCATTAACAAACCTCCGATGATATAATAGAGAATACGATGCAGATGAGAAGGCTTTATATCTATCTATCTATCTATCTATCTATCAATCTATCTATCTATCTATCTATCTATCTATCTATCTATCTATGTTCATATCTTTCACATTTTGTTCATATCTATCTATCTATCTATCTCTGTTCATATCTTTCACATTTTGTTCATATCTATCTATCTATCTGTCTGTCTATCTATCTATCTATCTATCTATCTATCTATCTATCTATCTATCTATCTCTGTTCATATCTTTCACATTTTGTTCATATCTATCTATCTATCTATCTATCTATCTATCTATCTATCTATCTATGTTCATATCTTTCACATTTTGTTCATATCTATGTATCTATCTATCTATCTATCTATCTATCTATCTCTGTTCTTATCTTTCACATTTTGTTCATATCTATCTATCTATCTATCTATCTCTGTTCATATCTTTCACATTTTGTTCATATCTATCTATCTATCTATCTATCTATCTATCTATCTATCTATCTATGTTCATATCTTTCACATTTGTTCATATCTATCTATCTATCTATCTATCTATCTCTGTTCATATCTTTCACATTTTGTTCATATCTATCTATCTATCTATCTATCTATCTATCTATCTATCTATCTATCTATGTTCATATCTTTCACATTTTGTTCATATCTATCTATCTATCTATCTATCTATCTATCTCTGTTCATATCTTTCACATTTTTTCATATCTATCTATCTATCTATCTCTGTTCATATCTTTCACATTTTGTTCATATCTCTCAAAGGTTCAAAGGCAAACCTCAACGGAAAGTTTCACGTCCAATGATGGTATTTACAATGAGGCATCAGTTGGCCTTGACACCCGAGTGAGAGCTATGGGAGGCCAAGCAATTGCAACATATGGCCTACCTCAACCTGAGCAGACATCAAACAATCTCGCAAATGAGTACATTCGGGATATCAGCTATGACGCCGAGGAAATGACGGTGTATATAGCTGATAATGAACATAGTCTGATGGACGACCAACTGGGTGATTATTTCGAGCACTGAAAGTGAAAGTGAAAGTGAAAGTAGAAATCTTCTTCGATGCCCAATATGGAACTGTCAAGACATTTGTCATCAACCTTCTTCTGGCTAAACTAAACCAAAAGAAACATATTGCTCTAGCAGTGGCGTCAAGTGGAATACCTGCAACCTTGCAAAGTGGTGGCCGCACCGATCATCCGTACTTTAAACTTTCTTTGTACCTGTCCTAGAAAGAGAAGTCAATCTGCAAGATAAGTCGCGGTTCTATAAAAGACACTCCTTAGTGATTGATCATCTGGGATGAGGCGAATATAAACCATAAGGGTTCGTTCGAGGCTCTTGAGACGACTCTTCAGAATCTTAGACTCGACCCACGGCTCATGGGAGGCGCAACAGTCTTGCTTGCGGGGAGACTTCAGACAAACCCTTCCAGTGATTCGGAAAGGGACAAGCGAAGACGAGGTAAACGCCAGTATAATGTCTTCCTACGAGGGTGAATAAGCTCAGTGGTGATGAGGAAGCTGGTACTTTTTCTAAGCAACTATTGGATGTAGGTAATAGCACTTTGATTGGCGGTTTGGTTTTCCATTTTGGACATATGGTATCTGATTTAAAGGAACTAAAGTCTAGGGTGTTTCCTAATATGAGGAATCAGATTACAGAGCACAACTGTCTGAGAAACTGTGTCATTTTAGTTCCAAAGAATGTGGCTTCTGATGATCTGAACATCGACCTTCTGGAACATTTGCCAGGTGAACGTCGCAGCTATAATTCCATTGAGGTATATTAATCATCAGTGAAGCTGTGAATTATCGAGTTGAATTTTTAAATAGCCTAACATCAGCAGGCCTTCCACCTCATAATTTACGCCTCAAGATTGGAGCCCCAGTGATGCTGCTAAGAAACTTGGATCCACCGAAACTTTTCAATGGCGCACGACTTATACTCTGATGGCATCATCTTCTTATGATGCCAACAGTTTTTGATTTGAAATGCTGACTAGTAAAAGAAGCGTTGAGGCTGTATTTATTCCTCGGATATGCCTTTCCAGTTCAAGCGATTCCCGGTGAATCTGAGTTTTGCAAACAGCATTTACAAAGCTCAGGGGCAATACTTGGATGTGGTAGGCTTTTCACAACCGGTTTTCTACAATAGCCAACTTTATGTGGGATGTTCAAGAGTCGACAATCCCAATCATGGAAAAACCAAAAATATTGTTTATCAAGAGGCTCTGCAAACTTAATATGAAACACCCAATCATCAGGTGTTTATGATTTAACTGTACTATTTGTCAGAGTTTCAAATCTTTTGTTAATCTATATGTTATTCTGTTTTATATATATATATATATATATATATATATATATATATATATATATATATATAAATCTATTTGCATATCTATTGTGAAACTATACTCCAGTCTATACTATATATTGAAAATTTATTTTAACACTAGCCCTCTTAACGGCTATATTCTCTGTGAACTCACAAAAGACCTTTTTAGGACTGCTTAATTTGAATTGTTACTTTCTGATAACGGATTTGCCTGTTATTACGTAAGTCTTTTTACGATTTTGGTATTTATAACTTATTGGTATTTTCTCCAAAAATCGTAGCTACTTTTAGATATTCACAAATCATGTGAACTTGATTGTATCCCTGCAATAGACCATAAATAATGTTTCACGAACGGGCTCCTGTTCGCTCTTGCTTTCCTGCTTACTGGAAATTCTTTTCTTTTCTTTCTTTCTTTCTTTCTTTCTTTCTTTCTTTCCTGTCTTTATAAACTCAGGCGAACCGTCTGATCCTTCTAACTATTGGCCTTTTAGCATCCTACCTTCTTATGGTAAAGTCCTAAATTCTTTAATCAACTCTGTATTCACTGACTATCACTTCGCAGAGTCTTCTTTCAGATAAACAATATACCTTCCGTTTCTCTTGGTTAGTTACTGATGTGTTACCGGTTACTGTTGAAAGAGTCTGTGAAGCTTTGGATGCGAATAGTGAATCTCGGGCTGCTGCATTA